GCGAACCTCCTAAAAAACCGCGAAAACCGCGTCGACGTCACATTTCCGAACCACTACCAACACTTCCTTCAAAAACAATCGATCACCGCTTAATATAGTCGACTAGCGCAGTTTCTGGCATGCTAACGCTATGCCAAATATTGTACGTTGATGTCTTTATTTAAAACCTCACGTAGCGCAGTTGCTGGTATGTATGCAATGCTAGCGATATATACTTTATCCCTATCTCTAATCATTTTCTATCCTTTGACATGTTTGATCTGGTATCTGGTCTCTGATGTCTGGTGTCTGGTATCTGATGTCTGGTATCTGGTGTCTGGTCTATCTGGTATCTGGTATCTGGTGTCTGGTATCTGGTGTCTGGTATCTGGTATCTGGTGTCTGGTGTCTAGTATCTGGCGTCTGGTATCTGGTATCTGATGTGTGGTGTCTGGTGTCTGGTATCTGATGTCTGGTATCTGGTGTCTGGTGTCTGGTATCTGGTATCTGGTGTCTGGTGTCTGGTATCTGGTATCTGGTGTCTGGCATCTGGTATCTGGTGTCTGGATCATGTCTGGTATCAGGATCTGGTATCTGGTATATGGTATCTGGTGTCTGGCATCTGGTATCTGGTATCTGGTGGATCTGGTATCTGGTATCCTGGTGTCTGTGTCTGGTGGTGTCTGGTGCATCTGGTATCTGTATCTGGTATCTGGTATCTGGTATCTGGTGTCTGGTGTCTGGTATCTGGTATCTGGCATCTCTATTTGGTATCTGGTGTCTGGTGTATGGTATCTGGTATCTGGAATCATATATCTGGTATCTGGTATCTGGTATGTATCTGATGTCTGGTATCTGGTGTCTGGTATCTGGTATTGGTATCTGTTATCTCTTTATCTGGTATCTGGTTTCTGGTGTCTGGTATCTGGTGTCTGGTATCTGGTGTCTGGTGTCTGGTATCTGGTATCTCGTATCTGGTATCTGGTATCTGGTATCAGGTATCTGATGTTGGTATCTGGTATCTGGTGTCTGGTATCTGATGTCTGGTATCTGGTGTCTGGTATCTGGTGTCTGGTATCTGGTGTCTGGTATCTGGTGTCTGGTATCTGGTATTGGTATCTGTTATCTCTTTATCTGGTATCGGTTTCTGGTTCTGGTATCTGGTGGCTGGTATCTGGTATCTCGTATCTGGTGTTTGGTATCTGGTATCTGGTGTGTCTGGTATCTGGTATCTGGTATCTGGTATCTGGTATCTGGTTTCTGGTGTCTGGTATCTGGTATCTGGTGTCTGGTATCTGGTATCTGGTGTCTGGTATCTGGTGTGGTGTCTGGTATCTGGTATCTGTATCTGGTATCTGGTTCTGGTGTCTGGTATCTGGTGTCTGGTGTCTGGTATTGATGTCTGGTATCTGGTGTCTGGTATCTGGTATCTGTATCTGGTGTCTGGTATCTGGTATCTGGTATCTGGTGTCTAGTATCTGGTTTCTGGTATCTGCTATCTGGTATCTGTTATCTTTTATAAGTTATCAGTTTTCATT